GTTAAACAAGAATGCGTGTATACATGGACTCAAAAGTGGCTTAATTCCAGTTGTTATATATATTTCTTTGGGATTTGTGTATATTTTCAGGGCCTGTATAAATCTAACACAAGGAAAAACAGGTAATGATGAGGGAAAATAAGGAACGTTTCCATAGAGCAAGGGCCTGAATCAAAGCCTGCTAGAATCAATGGAAAAGTTTCTATTGTTTGGGGATTAGGGCCTTTGAGTATTGTCCCTTTCAAATGCACAAGCCGAGAGGCCAAAATGGCATGGGTAAATGGAAGTTTGCCAGGAACAGGTGTGGTTTCGTCTTGGAGTATATTTTTACCGTCATTCTCCTCTCTTGTTCCCACCTAGCCCTTCCTCCTCCTGGAAACCATAGAAACTTTGATTTAAATAACATTTCTTCCATGGGGGAACTGTTCTAGTCAGGCAAGCAACAGTTATTTCTGTCTGTGATTTTTCAGATGAGCCTAAAGAAATTAGGCATCATGCCCTTGGAATTTCAGAGTTGAGCATCTGAACTGCTCTCAGTTTCCACGATTGATCCGGACCTATGCCTTTGGTATTGTGACGCCTAGAGCCATAAATTTCATTTCATATTTAAAAGGGATAAAGAACTACTTCATTTCAGTTTCTTTGTGTAAATGCTAAATTGACTAATATTTGGATTTTTCCCAGTGAAAGCTTTTTTGGGGAGGTTTTTGGTTTGTTTGTTTTTAAAAACAAAAAAGGGCTGCCCCCAATTTATGCATTACCATAATTTTTGGGTCTGTTTTTGTTTGTTTTTTATAACAGTATATTTATATTTGACAATTGTTTTTCACACTATTGGAGGTCTCATTCATACTTGCTTTTCCAGGAAGAAACAGACTATATTTATTTTTTGCCTATGTAAATAATCTCTTCCCTGTAATATGAAACTGGAGTTCTCTCACGTATGGCTTCTCTTGGAATACGACTCTGTTGACTTGCTGCACTTGTGCATACAGTATGTGTATTGCACCGTGATGGAGCCCGATCACTAAGTATAAAGTGGGAGCATGATGACTTTGTGTTGAAAGATTTACTGGGTCCAATACTGTATGGTATCATAGGATATTGTTGGAATGACAGAGCTGCTTCTCTGCACAGGTAAAGACACAACATAATACACTGCACATATCTTTGCTTCCGTAAGACATTGTAGGACACATTTCTTATTTTAAGACTAATTGTTTAAATGTGAATAAATAATAACCCCATTTCTTTTACACATCAGCCTGTAGATTTTTATAATCTGATTTTTACAGGTACTCTTTTCAGGTAGTGATATTTGGAACACCATCCTTTGAGAAACTTTAGAAATAGGTATTTTTTTAATCAATGTTAAGTATTTTAATAAAATGAAAGCATTTGGGGTATTTTTGCAGTTAATGGTGAGACTGGAGAGACCAGTTCTGTTGGGATGATCACACATGCTTATCAGTGTTCTCAGTGTAAACGCTAAAATTGTCGACAGCATCAGGGGTAGCAGAACAAGAAGGGTATTATTTGCATACATATTGAGAAGCAAGAATAAATATTACTACTTCATCAGTGGAACTTAAATAGACTGAAACTATTTGATAAATAGTATGAGATGACTTTTAACTGTATGAAACTATACACCATTTTCTGTAGTGAGTATATATTTCAGGTTAAACAGAAGACAGATAAATCAAGACAGTGATACTACATGCTGCTTAACAAAGTTATAGTAAGCTGGGCAGAATTAATGTTCTGTAACGTACATAAAGCAGCATAGGAACCATTGGTAACTGTTTACATGCTATTAATAATTAGCAACCTTCGTACTAGTCTGTTAGCAAAGAACCAGGCATTAGGCACAATAGAAACTCAACTCCATACAGTTGGGTTCAAATTACCGTAGACTTGGACAATAGGCGTGAACAGTGCTCTTTTGGGCTTCTGCCACTGTAAACAATGGGATGTTAGAATGTTTCATTTGTATATTGATTTATTTATTTGGACAGGTGCAGGTTGATCATATAAAATAGATTATTATTCACATGTAGCCAGAAGATAGTCTAAACTATCTGATCAGGGCATGATGATAAACAGTATCATGAAGGACTCAATGCAAATTAACCCTTCTATGGTGTTGGTTCTTTACATTAAGGGAATCATTAATAATAAGTAAATCTTTCTGTGTATTCACAGTCTAGCAAATGAGCTATGTGTGTGCAAATTAGTCATTTGCATACACAATATGCATTTCCTGTTCCATTCAACTCCTTTTTTGCTAAAATTCCTTCTTTTATGTTATATTAAAGATATTACGCATCATTTCTGAGCCAGATCTCTTTACTGTTAATGAGGTATACCCCTGGGGAGCAGAGATTCTAATCTGTTAGATCTCAGTTGGGTTTGGGCATGGGACAGTGTGGTGCCATCTCCAAGGTATAATTATCCTGAACTGTGTGAGAACCCTTCTGCCCCATATCATCCAGGTAAAAGAATGTAGAGCCAAAAGGATTGCTGCTCCCGTTGGCCTCATCTCTGCAGTTTTGCAGGAATTAACTGTCTAAATTCAGGTCGTGTAAGCAAGAATTCAGGCTTTCTTCTGCCCATCCATAGTCTGAATAGCCATGTTTCCTAAAGGAGATTCCTGAGGTGAGAAGCAACATTGGGAGAATGAATGTGGACATGGCTCCATTGACTGAGTGTTGCCTTTGAGGCATGGGAAAGCTAGCACTGAGAAGTCAATTAAAGGCAGGTGCAGATGATTCTGACCTCTGGTATGTCTCCTTATTATATCCTGTACCCATTATTTTCCTAAAATACACAAATTTTCCTTATCACATGCAACAAGAGGCAAACCATACCACTGGATAATAGCAAGGATACTCCATGAATACAAGCATGAATACAAGTTCTCAGTTTCCAGTCCCATGGATGAGCTTAACCTGCAAATGGAGTGAGATGACCCCATAGAGTTAATACGTTAAATATTGTCTTGCTATAAAGCAGTGAGCCATCCCATTAAGTTTTAGTGGAAACTGCTCTGGTACATAGTGTTTTCAACTGTCTTTTTCTGCACTTATCCCTGGGTGAAACAAGGTTGGCTGTGTGATGAATGAAGGTTTTTAATCTTTCTATTCACACATCTATATTGCTTTTTTCAACATTATACTGTGTTTCAAAACTAAAGTAGTCTCCCTTTGATCTGTGCATGTGACTCTTGTTGATGCTAATAGGAGTTATGTGCACACATTGAAGGATGGTAGACTAGATTTTCTCCTGAGGTGAACAACTGTTTTATAATTAGAGCTGTGGGAATGAAGGAAAGCCCAGCTAGCAGGCAAACGGTCATTCTTTCAAAAAGCTTGGTAAACTCATAAAGCTCAGGAGCTTAATCTCTGAACCAACGTGCTTGTTATCTAATCCCCACCAGCTGTTCTGTATTCAGTGACCCTGACATCTGTAATGGAGCTGAAAGACCCTGTCTATACTGGGTGACACCTTCACCAACTGAGCTCACTTTTTCCTTCACCACTCCTGCCTGCTAGTCTTAAATTCTTATTCACCTGCCGGAAAGCACTCAGATGTTCTGTTTCTTCTTCCTTCACATTTACAAGTGGGTCCTGATGATTTTTCTTTTCTTGCTTATGTGCTACTTTTTATTTCAGGCATTGTTTAGATAATCACATTTTCAACAGGCCTCTCTCTTGCGTTTCTGATAGAAGAGAGGCGGTTACCAAGAGTTTCCTTCCGAGAACTCTCAGTTTTTTACATAAACCTAAACTGTGATTTAAGGAGATAAATCACTTGGCAATATTTCAGCTGATGCAAATTGACAAAGCTCTAATGACTACAGTTGATCTTCTCCACTTTGCGCAAGGAACCTGGCTTGTGTATTTAAGTTGATAGAAATGATAAATCTTGTGTTGAGTGTAGCTGAAGTGTACTAACACGTGTACTTTAGGCTAGCATTTCCAAAACCTTGTGGGTTCATGCCCAACCATCGTAAAGTTGGGTACCATTGTGCCTCCCACCTATTCCAGTCATTGCTGGTTCCCCCTCACTGGTGGCATCAGCACACAATTGGCAGCGAGGGAAGTGGCAGAAGAAACTGAAGTAAGGAGGGCACAAGAATAGCTGAGAAAGGGAGCCTGCTAGTTGCCACTGTGATTTGCACGTGTTCCTCTTCCCTCCCCTCCCCCTTTGTTTTTACAGAGCAGTAGGTAACCATAGAGGGTTGGATCCACACTGAGCACCTCAACTCCCAACTTGTAGTCTTCTAGTTTCTGGGGTGAAGTCCACAGCCCTAAGTTAAATATCTATGCTTATGAAAACAGAAGACTTTCTCATTATCCTCTTTTAAAACACATCTAGTAGTTAAGGTGTCCTAATGGGTAGGGCACTGTTTTGGAAGGTAGAGGATGGGGACAGGTTTGAATCATTGGAGTCCTGTTTCTGGAGGTATAGACTACCAAATTATTATAATAAGGTAGGTGGTGGTACCACCCTGCCGCCAGTGTTTTTGAATGAAAGTGGCTGTGACCACTCTGATTTCTGGTGAGCAGAATGCTGTCAGATGTCTTAGGCAGAGGAATACTTCATCGTTGTATTGCAAAAGGATTTAGATGCGATATAGATGCCAAGCTGCTCAGCCCTGCAAAGACAGCTGCACTTCTGGGCATGCCTGGCAGTGCACTAATGGACTCTACAGTGAGAGGCTAGGGGTGGGTTTTGAACATTGCAGCATGGAGCTTAAGCACCTTAAATTGAGCTGCATGAATCTGCTGCTGATAGGGAGTTTAATTCCTTCTCAAGCTTCGTTGAAAATGACAAAGTAGTTTTTGGATCGGTTAAGGTAAAAACTGAAGCAGTATGTCTCAGCTTGTCTTGGCAAGCTATACAGGAAGTTACTGTTACTAAACTGATGTTTGATTTTAACTGGTCAGTTTTTATTTGGAACCCATTTCCTTCATGTGGTTTGGTTTATTTTTCAGAATGGCACTAAGAAGTTCTGGGACTTTATGAGGACTCATGACAGGTAAGCACAGATGCATGAACTCGTGTCTCTCTTATCTATGTCAGCGATTCTCAACCAGGGTATTACAGTATCCTGGGTTGCCTTGAGATCCTTTCAAGTGTTCCACGGTGTCCCATGCACTGTTAGCACTCTTAAATGTGAAAACGTGATTCACAAGATAAACCCAGAGATTTCAAACAGGAGTCCCTGGTGTTACAAACGTTCTGACCTATTGTGGTCTTTCTGGTCGTGTTCACATGAGCGTGGGCATTTGTTTCCCTGCGCCACTGCTAGTTGTCCCCAGGAAACGCCAGTGCCACGTGCCCTCTGGCGTGTGACAGGTTACCCTGGGTGGGATGGGGGAGGCTGGGGCCAGCAGTGGCCCCAGCAGCTTTACCTGAGGTCCTGGGGGCCCCCTGGTGCTGCAGCAGCAGTGATCCAGCCGCTGCATGCACCCCTCTGCATTTTTTTTTGCACGGTGTTTTTTGACCCTGGGATCTCTCAGGATCAAAACAAACAAACAAACCCTGTGCTGCTGCCTTGCAGCACAGGGAACAACTGAATGTGCAGCGTGTGGTGCTACAGATGTGTTGCAGCGCCACATACTGCACAGCCGCGCTCATCTGGACACAGCCTCCGAGTCCTTTTCAACAGAAGTTTTGTTTCTATTATTTTTCTTTAGGCAAAAAGCAAGTGAAAACTAAGAGCTGGCATTTTCTGAGCAGTACCTTGAATCTAAAAAGGTAGAAAACCACTAATCTATGAGCTTTATTTCATTCGACGTTGTATTCACCAATCCCAATCCCCATGTGTCGGGTCCTCCCTTTCTCCTTCTAAAGACGCATTTTGGTGATGCTTCCAGATAGGAGCTACTATTCAGTCACTTGTCTTCTCCTTTGCACAGTTTAGCAGAAGGAGTAAAAGGCAATTAGAAGAGCTCTTCTTTAGGCTTCTACACATCTTTTGTCTCATCTGACTTTGGAGTGTAAATTTTTTGATGCAAGACCTGCTACACTCAATGCATATATTAGAACTTAATGCATATATTAGAGATGATCTAGAACAGGGGTGGGCAATTATTTTGGGCGAGGGGCCGCTTACTGAGTTTTGGCAAGCCATCAAGGGCTGCATGATAGGCAGCCAGGAGCAGATAAGTATTAATTTTCTAAATTTTTTAGGGGCCCCGTGGGTCAGATAGAATGGCCTGGCAGGCCGCATCCAGCCCCCGGACCGCATTTTGCCCATCTCTGATCTAGAATGTGCACCTGAAGAAGAGGAGTGCATGACATTTTGCTATACAACTATGAATACAACACAGCGTTCAAAGGAAGGATGATTTTCCCCAAACCTTGCTCTTAATCCTGAGAAGACTACAGTTAAATGTGATGAACCAGTGTATAACCCTGTTCTTCAGTTACAGTTATATAGCCCCTACCTAGACCCTTAGTATAAAGACAGTTAAAATATCACTAGGGAGATATGGCCACATCTTTTTAAGTTTTCCACATGCAACTTTAGTATGAATGTACCATGAGAAATTCTTTAATCAGGGCCTAACATTACAATAGCCTAATTTCTGTAGCAGTGATCTCTCAGGCAAGGCCTTACTGAATTGACCTTGAAAGGAAAATTTCAGTTTCCGACCAGTGCCCAAATCTCATCCCAGCATCACACATTTCTCTTAACCATGGGAGGATAAAAATCAATGATTTTTTTAAAATAAAAAAATGGATTTTAAATTTAAATCAGATTTTTTTATTTAGTTGTATTTTTTTCTTAAGATGCTTTAAAAAAAAACCCTATATAAAGATAATTTTAATTTATGATATGCTACAGCTCAAAGATATCGTTATGGACTAGGGATTATAACTTCTAATTATATACTATAAGAGACAATATATTCATGTAACTTAGTCATAAAACTTTTCTAAAAAGGTCACAAGAGGCCGTGGACTATATCAAGGGCCCAATCTCATGGGGTTCTCAGAGGCTTCTCTATAGATTAGTAAAAATTTAAAAAACCCACTCTACGCAACAGGACTCAGTGCTCAGTCTAGAAGATCCCATTAAACATCTCTGTGATGCTTAGTTTCAGGTCTCAAACTAGATTTGTGTCTTCAGAGGTACATCCTTGTTAACAGCAGTATATGAAGATGAGATATAACAGACCTGATTAGTAGGGGTGTGCGAAGCAGGCCCTATTAGACTTGGATTCGGCACAAAGCAGGGACAGTAATTCAATTCATTGATTCAGATCACTGTCCCCGATTTGATTTGGCCAAATCCAAATCTGAAGATTCAATGCTGATTCAGAGAATCAGTGATTCAGACATAGACACAGCTTTAAAAGTTTTTTCTATATACCTCAAGGTACTAGGCATGGCTTGTGATCGCTGCAATGCTGGGGTGAATGGAGCATCCCACAGGAGTGCGGGGGAGACCTCCACATGTTCGGCAGCAAACCTGGAAGTGGACTGCAAGTTCTTCTCCCCCCCCCCCCCCCCCCCAGCTCGGCGATCGGCCATGGGGGGGAACCCCGGGTGCCCCCCTAGACCCAGGGGGCACCAGTTGTCAAGCTGGAGAGGCACCCCACATACTCCCTAGCGGACCCGGAAGTGGACTGGAAGTGCTTCTGATCTACTTCCAGGTCTGCTGCCAAGCACACTGGGAGTCGGAGATTTGGCCACTAAATCTCCACCGAATCAAATCAGGGACTGAAGCTTTGCGCAGCCCTTCTGATTACCTATCCGTCAGCCCTCTTGTCTCTCTGCAAGTTTATGTACACGGAGTTAAGCCGTTACATCTCTCTAATAGTGCAAAGTTTCAAGAAGTTAAATGAATAGAGGATTGTTGGGGGTGGAGTAGATCTGGGGAAGGAGGAGGAGTCTAGAGATAAATGCAAGGAGGGAGGGGCAGTAGAAACAAAAGAGAAACGTTTTGAGCAGAATATTCCAGAAGTCTTGAGGGGTAAGTTTCTGAGTTAGCCACTCCATTGAGTTGAGATCTAGTGCGGGAATGGTATGGTAGAAGGGAAACCTATTATGGGAGCAGGCTTGCCAGGCTGTAAAAGAGACCCTGTTTGGGACTATTTTAATGAAGGTTACATCAAACAACGAGAATGTACCTTTTGTAGAAAAAAGTGATTAAACCGAGGCTTCCTGACCAGTGATTTAATTAATGATTTAAATCAATTTGATTTAAATCAGACCCACCCTGCTTACCCCCTCCCAGTGAAAACTGAAAGTCTGATGATTTCCTTTCACTTGGATACTTATCTAATCAGAAAAGAGACTCAGTGCTACCTAATGAAGAAATTAGATCATACAGCACTGAATAACTTTAAATGAGAAATTTATCAAATGTGGGTCTTTTTGTATGAAAAATAAGAGTAATATTAGACTAGCACATTGGTATCTATAAATAGCTTTTCTAGCTGCTTTTAGGGTAATAAACCTGTTACTGAAATGACCTAACAGAAATCAAATTAGGAACTGCTTTTCCTTAATGTGATGTTATGAAGTAGGAACAGTTTTGTTTTGTAAATCATGCAACATTAAGACCTACTGAATCCTTAGAATAGTGAATGGCTTCATTTGTAACTACTTTAGAGGTATGTAATGGTAGCAAGAAATGGACAAGTTTTTATCAGTATAACAAATATGTAGGTAAGAGTTAGAAAAAGATTATTGAAAATTTTGAATCAATCAAAAATGTGCTAGCAGTACTTGAGTATAAGGATAAAAGACATTCATTTTATTACTGCAGTTCAGATTCAGCCTAATAATTTGGCTAGAGAATAAACCATTTTGTACCTATGGGTATATGTTCAGATTTATGTTCATAAATACGAAAAGTTGAACAGATATTTGATTATGGAAACAGAATACATGCCCTCTGGTTCCAGTGAAATTAATCCAGCTTCACGTCAGTGTTGAGAAGCACTTGATATTCAAAAATGCAATTTATTTACTATTTGCACATTTTAAATTTAAATCTTAAATGATCATGTTATTAGCATATGCATGTAACTGAATGGGGATACATAATATAAGAGCAGTTCTCTGAAACTGCTTGAGAATATTCCTTTTAAAGGACTTTTTGTGGACATTTTTTAAATAGTTTAGAACATGACTATATAAAGGAACTACAGCCACATGTCATGCCAGTCATCTCTGGTCACGTAACATTTGTTAGCTTAACATGTACAACAGCTGCCATCCTAACTTATTAGTGATTACTGAGTTAAACTGTAGAATGTAGAATGCTCTTTTTGGCAAATAAATTAATTCCAACTTCTGTCATTTCAGAGAAATAACAACAACTTCCTTTATTTGCAGAATTACTTTCCTTTATTTGCATTTTGCATAAATCCTGTCCATGAATATGAGAGCAATTATCACATATATCATTTTCATAAACTGGTTCAGAATACTTTAAAGTTGATTGGAAAATTTGATTTCAGTATAATTTAGCATAACAGCTTGTGGAAATTTACACTGGTTATATGGCTAAGCTTTCCTTTATAACTAAAAATTATTGCACTGAGTAATTGCTTGGTGGTCTCTGGTTTTTGTTTCTGATAGCAACATTCTTGACGTGTAATTAGGAAGAATTAATTTTTTAATTATTATTTCACTAATATTATAGAGGCAGAAGGTGGGGTGCGGTGGCACCTTAGAGACTAACTGGTTCATGAACTTTCATAGGCAACAACCTACTTTGTCAGATACTAGGAATATTATAAAAAGTTCTTATAAATTGTTTTTAATATTCTAAAATAGAATAAACTTATACTAAAAAAACACATTGACTGAACTGACTGCTTTATGGCGAAGGCACAGAACACAGTTAGCATGGAGTAATTTACCACGGTTTATACTCCAAAGTAAATTTAGTTCTTGTTAAGAAGCAGACACATGACCAGCTCTAGCTGCCTGAATTGGGTGTATTATAGCACCTGACCATTAAGAAGTGGGCGAACTGATTTACCCGGAGCAAACAGTAACCCTGGAAGGAAATTG